ATTCATTGTCTTGCACTGGGGAGGACTGCTCGGAATTCAGTGCATGTACAGTGCCCTGTGGTGAATAGGATCATCTAAGGACCAGCTGTAGAACATTTGGCTGCACTCCCCACTTCCCTTTTCTCCTTGTCATTGGACTGTGGAAAAAATTAAAAAAACCCACCCCAAAGTTGCCATGTGCTCATGGTGGTCACGGTCACATAGATAAGGGCTTGGCTGTCAATAGCATTTTAGCCATGACTTTACCTCTTTAACACTGCTTGTGGCTACAACGAGAAGCTTTCCGAGACAATAAATTAGAAACCATGACCCTGTAGTGCTGCCTTCAAAGAGGTATTTCCCCTTTCCAGGAAAAGCACCTTGGGTCTGTTCTTCTGTTTGCTGAAATTTGCAGTTTCTGTGTTCAGGTTTTTCATTCTTCAGTGTCGAGTCTTTGAAACTATTTTGGTCCTTGAGTTTCACATGTAATTATCAGTCTCCAGGAACTGAGTCTTAAAATACAGTGCCAGCTGTCACAAGCATCAGGAACCAAATTGGAGGGGCTGACAGTCTATAGGCATAGGCAGGTGACGTGACTTACCCTGGGCCATATGGCCAGCTGAGTCAGGATTAAAATTCAGGTCTCATGATTTCCCCAAAGAATGCCAAGCCCGTGGGATCCAGTTGACTTTCTGCAACAGTTTTTCGCAGGACAAACCTCTGTTTATGCCTCAGGTGGTTAAGAATATTGATGTAAGATTGGTCTGGGTTACTTCAGTGCTTCAGACCTGCTGTTAGCTGTCTTGATGGCAGTCCATTTCCCATTCTGTGCTGTGTCTGAGAAGACCAATGTTTGCTTTCCAGGCTGTGGGAAAGTTGTGTTGCAGGAACAGGTGAATTTTTGCTTGCTGAGCCCTCGCACACACCATGGTAGGAGATACCCAGTGTAATCCATGGGAGCTGAAGCCTGGCTTTCTCTCGAGCTGTGTATCAGGTTTTCAGGTGTTGGACACTGCCCAACTCTGGATTGTGCAGTGTCAGAGCTGACCTTGAGAACAGGCAGACAAACCCGTGGGGTGGGGGAAGATGGGGCTGCAGAAGAACATTACACAGTTGGGCTGACCAGGGTGATTGGAGCCCACTGGTGCCCCCAGTGTCCCTGGGGCTTCCATCTTCCAGGCCCTGGGAGAGGAGTTTTTGGTCTCTAACACAGTTCCCAGATGTGAAGGTGGCAGTGAAGTCTTGTTTGAGCTGAAGCTGGGACTCCATCTCTTGTGGCGTTGGTGCTGGTCAAACTGTGTATCCAGAAAGCTGTAATAGTCCCATGAAGCTTTGTCAGCACCCACTGACTGCAGCAGGCACACCATTTCTATCAGCATGTTCATCTGAACAGTGAATGTTTCCATACAGTTTCAAAGGGAGGCTGGGCAAGTGTCTTGGAAGATAATGAAGGAACAGGTGGCTCAGGAATTGCCCCAGGCTGACAGTGGCTAGTAGCTGACAGGTGTCTTCAGGGAAGTCTTCTCTTTGCTTGCCCTGCTGTTATTCTTCCCTCACCAGTCACTCATGACCACTATTGAGGGCAAGATGATAGGCTGGACAAACTCTGCCATGACCCACTGTGGGCATTTTGTGATGGAAATCAAGAGCCCAAGATGCAGAGATTGTCCTGACTCCAGGCTAGGTGTGGAAATTAATTCTTAACTGGTGCTGACTCAATAACTGCATTTTCCTGCCAGAAGGGACATGGGAAAATTAATTCTGTCAGGGAGTTTGTATAACAATCGCTGGCTTCGTAACTGGAGGTGGTTTGACATCATCTTGCTGGCAGAGCCTGGCAGGTTCGCCTGACCAAAAGCATTATCTGCCTGTACCTATCTTCTCTGCCTTCACCGCTTGTGCCAGGAAAGCGTGGCTCTTCCCAAGCTGATTCTTCTGCACCTAAGCCAGTTCTGCTTGCCTCACTTTTGGATACCAGTCCACATTTTTGGCACTCTAGTGACCTCAGCCTCTTTCAAAGAGGTCTTTCAGTGATGCTCTGCATCTTGCTGATGAAGCTGCTTCCGCAGTACTTTGCAGTGATGATTGTAACTGGAGAAGGTATGACAGCACTTTAGACTGAGATCTGCTTTGTGTCTCATCTGCACTTACATCATGCAGTGCCTTATAAATAGGGATAGAGAGGAAGAGCTTCTCAGTCACAGGCTTCTGAGAAAGAAGTCCATCAGAGTTGCGATGTATTTTGCTTACTGGGGCTCTCTCTTAGTTGCTGCTTTGTTCCTCTATAAGTGCTGTCTCGCAATTGAAAGAGCCACATCTGGCTTGAAGCCACTTGAAGCGGCTTGGACAAGAGACTGCCTGCTCTGAACAACGAATTAATGGGCTTGGTCTTTTACATGAGTAAAATCCTTTCAGACTTTTGTCCGTGTCAGGCTCCCAGCTCTTCTAATTAAGGGACTTCCAGCTCAGCCAGTGTTTGGGAGCTACAGTACAGCTGGGCTTTTGATAAAGTGAGGAAATGCTAGAGGTAGGGATGTAATGGATTGGATTTCAGCTTCAAAAAAATGTCTCAGAGAGAGAACAGAACATCCTCCTTGTACCACCTTTTGTTTGCTGCAGCAAAGCTGGGGAGACATCAACTGCGTGGGCTGCTCTGGCTTTTGAAATAGAAATGATGAAGCTGATAACAGGAAAGTGATCTAATAGGAAAGATGTCTCTTAGGCATCTAGAGTGATATTTCAGAAAACATATTTTTTACTTGTGCCTTTTCTTATTCTGCCTGTTTTCAGCAATACTTCCATGGCTCTTGCTTTGAACTCTCCTTTTCTTTCCTCCCCTGCTGCTGCCCGTGCTCCCTACCTGGTACAGGGTGCTGCTTGTGCTGAGGCTGTATCTCTGCAGAAGGAATGTGTCTGGCAATAAACTTCAGGAAGGTGGCCTGTAGCAGCCAATAATTATCATTCATCAATGTGGCTGTTATTCCTCATCATAATCACCTGTAAAATCTAGGAAACATAAGATACTTGGGTCTTTTTTTTTCCCCCAATTTCTTTCAAAGCCAGCTTTGCATCTTTCACTTGAATGTGAAAAGTAAGCTGGTGTCTTCTTTACTACTTACACATACAGACTTGCCATCAGAAGCAAGGTACTTGTCCAGCTAATGGATACAATCAAACTTAAGTCTCTAGATTTTGCTTTTCTGGCTCCATAACACAAAAAAATGCCTGGTATGAGGGTTGGTTTGAAAAAGAGCAAGAGAGAAAGACACCATCTGCCTCCTTACTTTTCCTCCTGCTTTCTTCCCTCCTTTCTTCTCCTGTATTCCCCAAAGGGTGTTCATTGCTCGCCAGGGATGTCTACTTGATTAGAAACGTACAATAGTACCCATTTACAGGCAGTCTTCTGCATAAGTTTCATAAATAATTCTTCTCAAGTGACACTAAACAGAGGTGTCCTGGAAAAACACTGATTTGAAAGGAGGAGCGAAGCGTTCTGCTTGTCCTTTGAAGCAGAACCACCCGCTGGCTCACGAACCAGCAGTAATAAACAGAGTCAAATAGCGTGGTACATAATTGCCTTCTCCTTTTGTGTCGGCTTCATATCGTTCTCACATGTGACATTCTTCCTGGCCATCGTGCTCTTTATCCTCTCATTGTACCAGGAGTGCAAACAGAATTTCTTTGTTATCATGGCATCTGTATGTGACTTTTAATTTCTTTGAGATTAAAAAAAAAACCAACAACAAAGCCAACCCTCAATCCCTCTTTGTCCAGCACTGTTTAAATCTGCTCTCAGCCTGCTTGCACAGCTCACTTCTGCCCTGCAATGCAGAATACAGATCTGCAGAAGGAGAAATCTAGAGCAATCCATGCAAAAAGGCTTTAAAAATGTGGTGGTGGTGCTGAAGAAGAGATGTCTGGAGAGTGTTAACATGGCATCAGTAAGTTGGAAGGTGGATTGGGGTAGGGGTGCATTGTATAAATCTTTACAATCACAGTGCTGTGCTTAGATGGGTGCTCTCATTCCTCCCCTTTTTGCTTTAGGTACTTGTAAGTAATGGGAATTATTTTCTTTGGCCTCTGAAATGTCTCCATAGTTGTGTAGTTTCCTTCCTATAAAGGTGACCATTTCAGATTAAAATTCTCTTTGGCAGCATATGAGCTCCCAAAACAGAGGCTTGAAGGCAATGGGTCAAGAGTTCCCAGTGTAGGAATTGTCTGACCTTTCTTTGTGCTGTAATAGCATAAAAAAAGTTGGAGTTATTATTTGGAAAGCATTAACAAGAAGATGTCAGAGGGGGACCTGGGTGGGAGAGGGCTGGGAGAAACATTCCTTCTTCTCTTTCCTTTGTCACTTGCACAGATCTTACTCCTTCCTGTCTGCTCTTGTCCTGCTCTGGGTTCTTGCAGTTTTGATGTGCAGGTTTGGTGTTCAAAGGTGGTGCAGAAAAGCAACAAGAGGATTAAAAGTACATGTTGTTAGCAAAGGAACTAAGACCAGACAAAAGCAGCTTGCAGTGTTTGAGCCTCCTGTCTCGGTTGATGTGGGGCTATCCCCGTGTTCCCACACAGATTTACCTGTGTGCTTTAATAGTCCCTTCCCAGCCTTTCATCTCTGCTGAAATCTTCCTTTGGCAGCTGGCTTTCACCAGCAAAGAGCCCTGTAGGTCTGACCCGGAGGAGGAGAGATGGCAAAAGAGTATCCCTGCTCAGTGCAGGGTCTGGAGCCCATCACAGGAGGTAGGTTAGGTCTGTGTGGAAGGCTTAGTTACACCCATGTTGTGTACAGTGTGTACCTGCGTGTGGTGTGTGTGTCTGACACAAACTCCCCTTCCCCCCCTCAGCTCAGTTCGTATAAGCATGGAATATTTTGGGTTGGAAGGGGCTTTTAAAGGTTATCTAATCCAGATATGGATGCTCGATACTGCTCTTCCAACTGACAAAGGATGTAACTAGATTATGTGTGGGTTGGAAGTGGAGGGCTATGTTTGACAGGGTTTTCTCTGTTTCCTGCCCCACAGGTCTTTTGTTTGCCCATGCCCTGGGGGAAAAGACTTTGAGAAGATGGAGAACCAGAGGGGAGTGCTCTTGGGATATGTCCGCTGGGAAGGAGAAGAGGAAGGGGATGAGGAGGATCAGGTGGCTTCTCGTGTTTCTCCCTCCAGCCAAACGAGCAGACTGGAAGATGTGGAGGTGGAGATGCTTGAGAAGGCAAGGGAGCTCTTCCAGCTGTGTGACAAGGATGAGAAGGGTTTTATCACCAAGGTGGACATGCAGGTGAGAGGAAAAAAAGTCCTTCCCCTGTCCTGGGAGGATCTGTAAAGTCATGGGTGATAGAAGTTAGGAGAATGTGGCATGTCTTTACTTTTGGTCAGTGTGGATGTGCCCATAGATTCTGTCTCATTCAGATATCTGGGAGCCAAACTCTGCCACAGCCAGCTGCGAGGAACCAAAAATCCCAGGAGGACCTTGCACCTCCAGGGAATTCCAGAGACGAATTGGACTGCAGTTCCAAATTTTTAAGGAATGCATAAAATAAAAAAAAAATTGTGACAGTTCTTACAAATATCAAGCACGCAGTGGATGGGAAATATGGGGGGAAACAATCTTGGTTTAATTTAAAGAAAACCAAGCAACAAACCCCCCAAAAAAGCACACAATGAACAATCTACCAACCTATTAACAAAAAAAGTTGTATAACTTTTTTGTCTCAATCATAGCTAAAGCCTCATCTCAAAAACTCACTTCAGGCCTGAACTTTAACTTTGCTCTAAAATAATGTGTTTTGCTCCTTTCTGTTAAAAGCAGTCTCTGTAATTCTTAATGAGTTTTTTTTAAAGGTTTATAAGGAAGGTTACATGTGGATTGTTTTTCTCCTGTCCCATCTCTCCCTGCATCTATAATTAACATTTGACAAGTTCATGCTGCTTAAAATATTGACTCACTTTGTTTGGGGTTGTGTGAAGCTTACTTTTTTGTAGCTATGTTAATTTTTATTAAGCTTTTATCTAAAGCTGCACATTTAACAGACAGTTACGAGGTTTCAGCCTACACCTCTTTTGTTATTTGGAACTTTCTTTGGGTGCCCTTCCTCCACGGTAGGTGCTGTGCACGTGTATTATGAAGGGAAATAACTCTGCTCCTTGCCCATGTTGTGGGAGTAATAATATAGCCCCATCAGACAGAATATGACAGAAGAAAACTAACTTGCTGTTATGGACTGAACGTTTAATTTATGATGAGCAAGATTTCCTGCAAGACCTGGGAACTGAACCCAGATACCCACAAGTCTGACCTCTCTCTCTGGCCAGAGGGATGGAGCTGGTAGCTGATGTGCCACAGAGAGCTCTCTTGGGAGCAGCGGTGGTCGTGGGAGGCTGGCAGCACCCTGGGGAGGGGGGCAGCCACCTCTGGGCAGGGGTGTAGGGAGGCAGACAGCGAACCAGAGGCAGTGATTCTCAAGTGGGGGAGGAGGAGGGTTGAGCTCCCTCCCAACAAAATACCCTGAAATTCCCTCTCTGCAGTTCTGGTTGAATCATCCAGCAGTGGAAAGTGTCGCCAAATCCATGGCTCCAGACAGGTATTTGTGTCATCACTCAGCTGTACTGGCAGACTGTCACATCCTGGACAGGATGCAGTGCTGGAAGGGCACATTGCTGTGAGCCAGAGCTGAGGATGGCAGGGACAGTCACAGAGAAGACTTGAGTCATTCCTGCAGTTTGTTCATTCTTTTGTCTTTGCAGCGGCTCCAGAGTGAACTGCCCCTAACGCCTCAGCAGCTGGAGACTGTTTTCGACAGCTTGGAACAGAACAATAAGGGATACCTGACGCCTGTGGAGTTCAGCATGGGACTAGGTAAGGACTGCACAGAGGCAGAGGAAGGAAAAAGCCCACGTGTGACATGATGTTTTATGTTGGTAAGAAAGAAAGTGCAGTGGTTCTGCTGAAGCTGCACCAGCTATGCAGGACAATGCCCCATGCTCGTGTGAGCATCACTGGAGAAGGTGGGTGTGCCATACAGCTATCCCCCTTCCCAAGGCTTTGTGTTGCCTTCTTCCCCAACTGTTACCTGCCTACCTGGTAGAGCCGGCTTCTGAACATCTCCTGCTGGAGATGGTACATATTGCAGCCTGTATCTGGCTATCTGATCCTCAGTTATTCATCTGGATAAGGACCCTCATTGGATAAAGGAACAGCAATATGCCCCTTGCCAACTGTCTCTAGCTAGTATCAGTGCTGTTCAAGAGCATGAGTAGGAGTCCTGTTAGTAGACTAGAACACTGGCAAATGAACTTTTTTTTTCTTCTTACTGTTGTCTTTTCCAAACACTAGGAGAATGCTGCTTCTGTACCAGAGTCCCCACCCAGCAGCACAGGTGCTTAGTTGCCTTAGCTGGTTTTAAGCTCCCAGAAAATCTGCACCTGTTAGCACCTTCCTTGGACATGTGGAGGCGTTAAGTGTACCAGGTCAAAGCAAGTGAACACAGATGGTCTAGGGTTTTCAGGAGTGATTTCGCTGTCCTGGTTGTTCAGATTGTGGCTGCTCCTGGCTTTCTCACAACTTGGGAGGGAGGGCTTTTGGTGCTTGAATTGGAATGGTCAGAAACAGCCACTGTGAATGAAGAAGTTGCAAACATTTCCTCTGAATAAACCCAGAAAGCTGTGTCTTGGGACAGTCTGTTCAGAGACTGTATTAACCCACTGAGGAGTGCCTGCTGACTATGCCTGTTCCTGCCTGTGCCCCTGTTGGCTGATTCTGCTGCCTTCGCTAGGAACAAGAGTAATCTCAGGAGGGTGGGCTTTCCTGTCTTGCACTATGTAGAAGGTGAGCAGGCAACATTTGGGCACCTTGGCATCCACGGTTCCCTTTGTGTTACGACTTGGTTATTCCCAGATCTTGTTGTTTGAGACATTTGTCCCAGCCACGGCCAGAGATGGGCATCATGAGGGCACCTGCCTCAGTGCCACTGCTGGTAGAGGTAGGCACGTTTTCCCTTTGGGTCAGGTACCACCCTATGTTGCCAGCCTGGCTCTGTGGCACTTACTCTAGTCTAGGCAAAACACTTAATTTCTGCGTTTTTTCTTTGCAATCATTCTTTGTGTCTGGAATAATTGAAATCCTTTTCAGACTTTGCCCCTAACTCAAGAGTTTGGCCTGGCATATTGCTGTATTCCTTATGGAGTGTACAGGGGGGAATCAAGGAAAGCCGTTCAAGCTGCAGTCAAGTCTGCTTCTTGAGAGGGCTCCTTGCTCCTTCTAGGATGACAAAACAATCTTCAGATCATTCTCTACCTCAGTTTTCCTATCTCTACCTCAATTTTGCCATCTGTAAAAGAGAGATAACAAGAGATAATGACTCTTTCTTTAAAGCAGACATCAAAAGTGCCTAATCTAACCCCTTCTCCTCAATTAACTGTCTCAGCATCAGGCTTTAAGCTGAGTAGGGCCTGTGTCTCCACACTATAAGTTTTTTTACAGCACATTTTAAGAGCGGGAAAGAAGCAGCTCGATTCTGGATGCACGGAGTTAGGAAGTGGTAGAGTTAAGTCCCTTGAGGTAAAATAATGATGGATATTTTTCCCCTTAGAGCAGCTTCATGTTCTGATGTGTGCTCTGAACATCCTTGACTCCTGGTCTTGCAGTTGGGCTGTCATTTCTGCCTTTTGAGCCAAGCAGATATATTTTGGAAAGGAAGAGTAACTGCTGATGGAAGTCTGACCTCTGTATACAGGATGGGGGCCTGTGTTTTGGATAGGATTGCTTGATTTGTTTCTTGAGAAGAAACTGTTCCCAGCACCAGTGTTTGTCACATGCCTTGCATAGCATGAGGTTCTTGTGGAATTAGTGTCACAGCATGAAACAGAATCCAGAGAGCTGGAAGCCCTCCATACGTGGGATGGGGCAGGAGGAGGTGCTCAGAGGATAAGTTCATTCTGTTCAGACACTCTACACAATCCTAGCAAGAGGCTCTCCTTGTTCTGTAGCACTTGGACCAAATAGATGTAGCACAAGAGAAGGGAGGGATAACGAGCTCCTCCTCATTTTTAAGCTGAGGAACTGAGGCATGGTACTACTCAGGGCCGGGTGTGCAGTCCCCAGGGAAGTTGTGGGATCATTGGCAACTGGAACTCACAGTGCCGCTCCGTGGGAGTGAGGTGACCTCATGCCGCGTGCTTTCCGTGCTGAGAATCCAAGGCCGTGGGTGGTAGATCATCTTCATACAGATGTGAGCCTGTTGTTGGGCTGGGAGCCACCTTCAGTCCCAGCATTGCAGACTGGACGCTGACATCACTCAGGACGTCAGAACGGAGGCTCTTTACTGACCAGGAGCTGTATTCTGCCCCAGCAGAGTGTGGGCAGCTGCTCCTGCAGCTCTGTCAGGCTGCCACGTAAGTAGCGGCTTATTAAATGACACCCCATTTGACTTTTTTCATTCTCCTTCTTTCCTTCTCCTTCCACCAGGGAAATTAATAGGGATTGAATTGTGTCAAGGGGCTGGGAGAATGGATCACTCCAGACACGAGGAGACCTTTGAGTCAGGCTGGTCAGATGACTTGGACCCAGCAGATGATGATGAAGAGAAACGATTCTGTTCCATGATGGAGCAGCTCGGAGCAGCCCAGTTGTTTGAAGAGTAAGTAGGGGAGTCGCATGGCATTACTTTCACCCTGTTTTGACCTTGCAGTGCCAAAACTTCAAAGTACCAGAGCAGACCAAAGAGGTGAACTGAGCTGCTTGCTCTCGGAAACACTGCTTGGGTTTTCATATGCTTGGTACCAAATATAGTGAGGGTTTCCTCATCAGTTACCAATTTCTTTTAGCTCAGTGCTTTTCACAAAGAGTTTCCCAAAGTCCAGTTCATACCACAGCTGTAAAATATAACACTTAGTGGCAGGCATGGAAGTTCAGCATAGGCAGCAAATGAAAAGAAGCATGGGAGGGTTAGACAAGATAAGGAGGAAGAGTGGGCTGTCTGTTCCAAAATGATGTGTGACTGTTTATGTATTTTCAGACAATCAGTTCTAGGAGTCTCCATGAATAATCTGTGCTCAAGTAGTTGCTTGGGACTGGGCTGATCTTGAAGAATGTGAAAGGCTAAGCTGGGCAAGGGATGCTTACCTGAGCCTTGAAACTTGGTATTAATGCGGTGGGCATGTGGCCCCAATAGGGTTTCCTGGCCCCAGTGTCATCCAGCCTGTCTTTACGTTTTCCAGAGTGAAGCACTGTACATAACTGGTTCTTACTGATGCACAACTCCAGGGGCTGGGGTGCCAATTGCATCTGTGGCAGTCATTTTTTTCTGGCATTGTAGTCCAACAGTGTTGCCAGTTTGCAGGGAGCGGCCCAGGTTAGGGAAGGAGAGAGTCAAACTTGGAGACTGAAGCTGAAAGTGAAGAATTTTGCTGCTTTCAGAGTTGCATCTGTCACAAAACAGACTTTTTTTGTCTCCTTTGCATTGTGATGCAAAGCACCTGTGTGTATTTAATGCTAAACAACTTTTCCTATCCCAAAAAATTCTGGAAAGCTGTTATGCCTCAAATAATTGGATGACACTGTGAAAGGAAAACATTTTGGGAAAAACAGTCTCTACTGTTTATAACTCTGCTTTGAGAAGCATCAGGTCTTAAAGTGGAATTATCCTGTGTTTTATTTTGACCTCTTACTTGCAGTTTTATGCAATGAGTTCAGTAGCTACTTCATGTCATGCCTTTGTAGCAAGCCAGCTGTTGTAAAGAAGTAATATAAAACAGAAGCTAATTGGGGTCAAAGCAGGAATCTGAATTATTTTCACTGTTTTCTCAGGAAATAAATGGTTTTATTTACTAACAGGGCTCAATATTATCTAAAACGAAGTTTTGATGAAGTGCTACAACTTTTTCAGTTTGGGAAAGAAAAAGGAGGCTGTCATGTAATTGTGGCAGAGGAAATCTCAGAGCTTTTTGGTTGTTTATTTTGTTTGCTTTTTTTCACAAAGAATATTAAGGGAGGCAAATACATATACAAAAAAATTCTATTTGGATAATGTCTATAGATATAATTATTCTGTATATTTCAAAGCAGTTCCCCCAAAGTATTTAATAGATTTAAAAAAACCCCAAAACATCTCTTGACTAAAAAGAAGCATGAAATGATGTCTGCAGGCCTATAAGACTCTTGGGGAAAGAGTATAAGTGCTGTGTTAAAGTTGCATTGAATTAAATGTCAAAACAATGTAATCATTACTGCAGGTTTAGAAAAACAAGAGTTTTTCTAGGGCTTTTCTCCATTGTTATTCTGATGGGGCACCTGAGCAAATTTGTGTCTTTTCTTGTGCCTCAGTTTCCAAACCCATTAAAAAAAAAAAAAAGGACAGTAGCAGGACCAGTACAGTCCTGGTGTAAGAAAAACACCTGTGATGTGTGCTAAAATCCCTGGGCTATAACAGTTTGCTGCTTGACCATAACTCACAGGAAATTTGCTGAATATTCATCTCTTCAAGTCTTGATTTACACACGAAATGTCTTATTGCTGAGTACTTGGGGAAAATAATAACTCCAGGATGAACTTCCTAGATGACTCCCTTTATTTTAACCTCACAACAGGTGCCACTCCACACACGTGCTCTGTCATTGTCCAACTTCCCTCTTTGCTCTGATGGTGTAATGAGGGGCATCACAGGAGAACAGCAGTTTGTCCTGAGTGCGTGTTGGAGTTGGAATAACAGTCCATAAGATGACACAGAAACTCATTTGCTTTCCTTCTCTCTTGTATGGTTGGTGCAGTCCACATGAGATTCGGGAGCTCTGGGCTCGGCTACGAAAGGAGCGTCCGGAGCTCTTATCCAATTTTGAAGAATTTCTGTTGCGAGTTTCATCGTACATAAGGGAAGTGAATCATGAGAAGGAGTCCATGGAACAGGCACTGAAGCGGTGAGGAGAATATCATGGCCATTTGCTGTCCAGAACCAGCTGGTGCTTGGGTCCTGCCTCAAATGCAAGGAGAGACTGGGTTACAGGATGTAGAGGTTTTTCTTGCTGTGATAAAACGACTCTCTATCTTGATCTGATCCCCATGAGTTTGTTTGGCATCACTGCCCACCCATAACACATGGTCTGGTTAAAATCCTGCTCAGTGCCACTCAGCTGCTAGTAGGAATCCATATCCACCCTCCTCTTCCCTTTCTGTATTCTTTTTCTCTCCTGACCTGTGTGCACCTGCCTTTTGTAGGAAGGAGTCAGACCATGACCGAGAAGTCCGGTGCCTTTATGAAGAAATGGAACAACAGATCAAAGCAGAAAGGGAGAGGCTGGTCTGCCAGGTACCTCATCTATCTCTTGGCTGAAGGCAAACTTCCTTTGGTCTGAAGCAGAGGTGGTGCCTCATCTGGCCACCGACCAGCTCTTACTCTGCTGGGTGTTGCATCACAAGCTTTGTATCTTTACCTTTGCAGGAAGCACTGAGATATGACAGGAGTAACCTGCTCCAGAAGGAACTGCACAACAAAGAACAGGAGCTGGAGAAAATCCTCTACCGCCAGAAGAAGGTAACAGGACCCAAACCGTCCTTAAACAAGCACATCCCCTTCTGCTGTCTTTCTGCTAAGGCTTTCTCTGACCCAAAATGGTGTTCATCTCCTCAGGGTTAGTACTAGCTAATCTGGCACTAGCTGGTGTAGTTCTCTCCTGTTTCTAAAGTTCTTGAAATGGTTTGTCAAATAATTGGTTTGTCTTCAACTGTAATGCTTTTCTGTGAATGTTTTGTCCATGCATTCTTACCTGCTTTGTATTCTCTTGGCACAATCTTCCTATCAGTTGTACAGTACTGGCAAGAAAGACAGGGTAAAGATTTGAAAGTTGCGTGTTTACTGTCCTTTGTGGTGTATAAGGAAGATGTGTATGGACATAAGAGAGACAGATTTCTCTAGTTTTTGTTTTCTGGCTGCTCCAAAATGATGTGTAGTGAACAGTTCTGTGACACTTAAAGAGGTATATATTGTGGATTTGCATTTGGGCACTTGATGTACTGATTAATCAGTCTCATAAGAGATCAAAGCACAGACTTCCTTTAGTCTGCCATCAGTGGCATGGACATTTGTATCCCTCTTGTGGTGTAAGACATCCTGAATGTCATCCTCCTTGGTGTCTGAAGAATTGCTACATGGACCCCACAGAAACAAATCATGGCAGGCACCTGTAGGATGCTGGTGAGTGAGGGCATCCAAGTTGGATACCTAGCTGTGATGTGGATGAAACAGCACTTCTCTGAAAACATCAGCTCACTGTACAGCAGCTGGAAAAGCCAGGAAAACTGAGGTGCCATCAGGAAGGATATCAAGAATAAGATAATGTCAGTATATTTTTCCTGTTGCCCACATCTTTGAGTGCCTCATTTGGTGGGTGCAGTTCTGGTCTTCTCTAATTCCACTGTGTCCTTCTCGGGTACGAAGATATGGAGAACTAACATTACTGGCGAAATGGAGCATCTACCTTAGGAAGGGAAACCAGGAAAGCTTAGATTTGATTTTGGAGAGAAGGGGACTGAGCTTTATGAACTCGGGAAAGTGACAGATAAGGTCCACATAAAACTTATTCCCCATGTCCTGCAACAGAAGAGATGAGGGACACTCAGTGAGACCAGTATGAATTTGATTTAGAAGACCATACTTCTTTACACAGAGATTAGTGCTGGACTTTTGGCCGCAGGAGGCAGGGAGTATGGGCAGTTCAAAAACTATTTGGACAAACAATTGTACAATAGGCTTGTAAATGTTTAGTAAAAGGAGGAGTGGTCAGAGATGTGGCTTCTAACATCCCTAGTGCAGGGGCCATGGATGCTGGGGGTGTATGAAGGGAATGGACCATAGCCAGGAGCCCAGGCACGCTCTTCCTAGGTAGCATCTCCTCTTGCTATGGGTCAAGGTAGAAGTGCTTGGGTTGCATAGACACTTACTCAAATTGTCGTTTCTCATGCCCTTAACTCTGAGCTGTGTAGATAATCGGCTCCCTCTTGTGGTGCAAGACCAGTATTGTGATTGTGCTATTCTACAGTATCACTTCCAAGTACAGGCAACATAAACAGCAGAGTTTTATGTGATGGAGATTTCTTAGGGAGGGGCAGGGGTGCTTTACTTTAAGTCTGTCCCCTGTAAGCAGGGGTTTCTTAGTCTACTACACTCCACTGCTCAGCATATATGGTCATGCCAAAATTTTCCCCCAATGTCCAAAGGACTAGAGGTCTCCAGGCAAAACTGGGTGTGGCTTGCCCTTGTAGCCTCCGTGGGAAGAGATGTAGGGTTTGTGTTTCAAGGAACCTAGGAAAGGTCAGCTCTGTTCATTCCTGCTCATTACTGCTGTACACGTGCTGGCAGAAAGCAGGGTAGCAAGGGGAAAAGCACTTTACCTTGTGCCACACTGTGCTGCTTTATTTTTCCTTTGAGAGGGGGAGAAAGTAGGCTGAGAGGAAAGGCAAGCTGAAGGTGTAAATGTGGAGGCTGACTCTGCCACCTGCTACCCTAATCAGACCTGATTCCTGGTGCTTCTCTCTGTTTGTAAGCATGGACTGTATACTTTTATTTTGGGCTGCAAGCTCTCAGATGGTGCCACAGTTTCTGTGCAGCAGCTTCAGCAGAGGGCCCTGATTATCTGGCCTGGCTGGCCAGATACTGAAGTGTCTGTATGATCATTCTTGCAAGGATCTACTGCGAGATGATCTACTTGTCATCTGAGATGGGCAGGTTTGACTGCTGCATCTGTCTGTGACTCCTTCCCAGACTGTGCCAGCCATGTGTGAGGAATTGAGTCACTGAGAATGCTTGAGAATGTGACAGCAGGCTTTCAGCTTCCCAAATCAGGCTTGTTAGTTGTGCTGGGGGCTTGTGCTGTCTCGAGTGCAGCTGTGTCCCAGTGACATTTAAACAGTATGTCTGTCTCCAGCAGTAGTAAAGGTCACCTGATCACTTGACTTTCTAGGTGTAGTGTGAGATGCCCCCTGCACCTCCATTTATCCCCTTTTCAGCTGCCGTGGGCTCAGGAAGTCCCTGAAGTAGAAGATGCGTTTCAGCAACTGTGTTTTTAATAGGTCCTGAGAGACATATTCCTGCTTCTGCCCAAATTTTTCCAGTCCTCCTTTGACCCTCATTTGCGCTCTGATTTCTACAGCTCCTGACAGCAGCAGGCTCCTCACGCTGTCTGAAGCACTTCCTCAGCTGTGCCTAATTGTATTGTTTGCTCCCCAATGCTGGCATAACGAGAAGGAATTCTTTCCAGTTCACCACCTCTATGCCACTAGTGATCCTGCAGACCTAAAGTTGTGTTTACCCCCTTCTGCCTTGTTTACATCTGCTTTTTCAGGTTGTTCTTAGAGGCATGACTGTAGCCCAAGACCCTCCTTCTCTGTGTTTAATCCCTCCTACTCCTCTCACATTGCAGCTGGAACATCAGCTGCAGTCACTGAACTCGGAGCAGCTGGAGACCCGGGTGCAGAATGAAAGGCTCCGGCACCTGAATGAAAACCTGCTGGAAGAGCTGGAGAAAAGCAAATGGGAGCTGGAGGCGGTGAAGGGGCAGTTACAGAAGCTTCAGAAGGAGGCTCAGCTTGAACAAGAGCAGAAGGACAGGTGGGAAAGGGCAGGAAAGGAGGTGTCAGGGTAAGGACACAGACAGAGAAGGAAGGGTGGGCAAGCAGTTAAAGAAAAATGGTTTTATTAGAGGATTGCCTGTCTATTCTTGAGAAAAAGAAGAAACATGCCGAGGGTCTTATGGGCCTAAATAGGAAGTGATACTGCTATCTCATGCCTACCTTTAGAGGGAAATGAATTTGCTCACTGATATTTGGCTAGAAAATTAGTCCAAAAGCACGAAAAAAAAAAGCCTAAAGGAGTCTTCTCCGTGTATTTTCCAGTTCACCATCACCTCTATAGTGCTATCTTTAAAGATCCTCTTCTAATCACTTGCGTTCCCCTCTCTGGGTTAAATCTAATAATACATAGATAAAACTTTGGGATGTTTCAAATCCAGATGGCAGTGACCATCCTCCCCATCTCTAGCAGCTGAGGAAATGGAGAAGATGGGTTGCCTGCCCTCAGGTTGGAGGAGAGCAGGAGAGCTGTGGTACAACCCAGCCATCCCAGCTCCCACAGCAGTGCTGCTTCCTCTGAATCCTCCTAGCATAAGGCAGGCCTTTATCTCTGAGAATACTATGAGTGCCCCCGAGAAAGGGATCTTTGTATTTTCTCTCCCATTAATTTATTTCCCCTTTTAAAATCCCTTTCACCTAGGGATGTGTTCAGAGTCTCCAAGAACATGCAGAAAGAGAAACAAAGCCTCCTTCGGCAGCTGGAGCTCCTCAGGTAAGAGCAAGGCTGGAGGGAAATGCTGATCTCCTAAGGGGCTGAGGTTTCAGCACTGCGCTCATTTCTCCCTTGGAAAGCTACGGGATTGTATTTAAGCAGTTCTCAGACTCTGCTTGTTTTTCTAGGTCCAGACAGAGTTGTGCAATCTGGCCAGCTCTGGCAGATTACAGACTCTGTTATTTCACGAGGTAATCCCTCCTCTGGAGGAATTCAGTCTTTTCCACTGGTTAAAGAAACCATGTGGAGCCCATTACCTGAGCTGGGATACATGGAAATCCCAACATGTCTGGCCTTAAATAGCATCTTTATCTCTGTCTCAAGCTGCCTTTCTGTTCTCACTTTCAAATGTTGCCTTAACCCTATTTTGGACAAGCACCTCACTGTGTCTTTCCTGTGTCTTCCTTTGGAGCAGAGAGATGAACAAGAAACTTCGAGATGAGCGAGACGCTTTTGAAGCCAAGAAGCTGGTTAGTCTAAGAAAGAAAACCTTAATTCCCAACCACCCTCCTTTCATCTGCTGCTGTTGCTGTCATCACTCGGGGGCCCGTCACTTCCACGGGGGACAATGACCTGAGCTCACAGGGCCTGGTGTGGTGCCTAATACAGACTTCTCAGCACCTCTGTGTCCGTGCTGGAGACAAGCTCTGCTGGTTGCTGTTGCCAAGTGCCCGGGTTTAACCCCAGGCACGTTGGCTTGTGACTGTCACGCAGCCCTGTGCAGGGCTGCAGCGGGTGCTGCCTGCTGCACACGTGGGGTCTGCGTGTTGTGCCAGGCACTGGGCATGTGCAAGGAGGGGAGTAAAGCTAGATGTGTCCCTGGAGCTGGGTGATGAGGAAGAAGATGGATTCCCGGATGTGCTGCTGGCTGACTGGGTGTGGAGGGACACACAGGAAGGTTTTGGAGTTTTCCTGATCCCTTGAGTTTGTAGCAGGTGTTTTCAGGTGTTCCTCTGGGGCAGCTCCCCCTTTCCTGTGAGCTCTGCAGGGTGGAGGTGCAGCAGTGAGCCTTGTGTCAGAAGGCTGGGGTAAAGTAGGGCCTCTGACATGTAGAACAGTCAATCTCTGGCCCTTCCCTGATGAGCACAAATATGGGGTCTATTTTTAATTCTTACTGTTTTTTCATGAAAACGTCTTTGCGTTCCCCAGTGTCCCTGGCAAGGCTGCTCTGTCCCCTTGGACCCATCCCTGCCATCATGTGTCTTTGCCTGCTCTGCCACTGTGCCCCACTTGAAGATCTGGACGTAGATGCCTTGCAGTGAGGACAGGCAGTGGTAGGCTGTGAGAGCCTTTCTGTCTGATACCTAAGGGAATGTGGAAGGAAACACAGGGATTGTGCCCAGAAAGGGGGTGGAATGCCCTGCTGGGAGAGAGGCTCAAATTCTTCTCCAGGTGGAGAGCTGTATAAAATAACGTCAGTAACCCTTTTGGATGGAGACGAGGTGTGTGTGCACATGCCTTTGCATGTGTGTGTGTATTTCTGAAAGCTAAATTAATTTTTTTAATCTCTATTTTTAAAGCTGCTAACTATGTGTATGTGCACCAGAGCTTCCTGCTCCCTCTTGGAGAAGCAATAAACACAGTCACTCTGTAGCAGTCCAGGGCAAGTAGGCGAAGAAAATGGTTTCTTCCTCTTCTTTCCATGTGTTGTGCTTCTGGGTTCCTGTGGGTGGGGCGGGTGGCCTGTGGAGACCATGGCTCAGGTATGTACTGCTTGTCTGCTTCTCCTCTATTCTCTTCTCCCGTTCCCCTGCTAGGACCTGCTCGAGGCTGCTCTGAAACATGGCAGTTGCAGGCAGAGCCAAGAGAGAGCCTAGCAGAGAGAGTCATAGCACAGAGGAGCCAGTCTCTCCCTTCTGCCGCCCCTGGCAGTAGGGAATGAGGCAGCATGCTGGGTGGAGTCCTCCTGCCACCACTGCTTACCTGGCAAGTCTGTGTCGTGCTGGGCAGTTGAAGCCTGTACTGGAGTAAGGTTTTCTTCCTCTGGCCACTCTCGTTTCAGTCGGCAGGAAAGCAGGGCTCCAGGGGATTGCAGAGATGCTGCTGCTGCCATCATACACCTGCAGAAGATCTGCTGTCCAGCCTGTCACACTGTAAGGGTGACAGAAAATATCAATACTCCCTACAGCAGCAAAAAGGAGAGTCCAGCCTTCTGATGGGGATCCCTAGTGTGCAACACACTCTCTGCCAGAGACTATCATTGCCTTTACAGGCTAAAAAGAAACCCAAGGCCTTAATACCCTCTGTTAGTGCTGGGAAGAGCTATGTTATTTCCATGAAATGAAGGTGTGATGAGAAGAGGTTCTTTCATAGCAAAAATTTTGAAGTGGTTGGAAGGAGGGGTCGGGCTGTTCATGGGTGATAGCAACCAAGTCACTGCTCCTTTGTTTTTCTCAGTGCCCAGCTTAATACCTTGCTCTTCATAAGAGTTTCTGGCCTTGCCAGGGTGGGCAGACCCTGGTCCCGCGTCACTGTGGGGCGCTCTCTTGTCCCAGTGGCTGGGTCATAAACAGTGATGTGTGGCTGTTTCTGCCTATGTGCAAACCACTGATGGGTATTTTTAAGACCTGGGGATCACAGGTTTAGTTTCACACCCATGACCCATCTGGCTGTGGAGTTATGCTTGCATGCTGTATATTGGCAGAGCAAATTTCATGTCTGCTCATCATGAATAGTGTTTTGGTACTTCAACTACATTGCACACATATTTGTATTTCACTGATAAACCAGAATCTTTCCCATCCAAAATGCTTGTACATGTGCTGTTGTGGAATCCTTGCCATCATGTGTTATTCAGCTGTGATGTTGTCTGTCCCTTTACCACCCTGGTGAAAAGCCAAGTGTTGCACAAACCTGGCAGGCCAATAAAGCATGGCAGAACCAATGGCAAAACACGACCCATTGTTTCTCCTTTCTTACCCAAGTTTGTGCTCTGTGAGCTGTTTCCTCTCCAGGTAGGATTGTGCCGTAGCAGATTGTGTGGGAGTCCTTTTGCACCACAGGTGACTTGGAGGTTGTGGATGCTCCACTGGCCTGTAACACGGTGTCCTTCTTTTTGTGTAGCTAGAGGGTGCCCTTGAGTGAACCTGCTCAAACACTGAAACCTTCCTCCTCCATCCCTGCTGGAGAACCACTGGTTGTCTGAAACTCAGTCTAGCTGTGATGGCTGAAGTGTTGCTATGCTCTTGGGGTCCTTTGCCTTTGAAGATTTGTGCTCCACGGTTGTGAGCCTCTCAGTGCTGGATTGTTTCAGTGGCTGGAGCTTCTCTTGAACACCAGTTTTACATGTAAAAAATGTTTTGTTCCCCTCCCTTCCCCCTAAAGTTCCTAAGTTGGGTGAGGCCCTCTGTGGAGTCCAGAGTGTCTGCTTTTGTTTGAATGCATTGCAGTAAAAGTGTTCTGGGAGTTCTGGCCAACAGAACAGCTTCTTTATTTTCTTGCCTTTTTAAATAAGCCTTCGGTAAGGGTTATTGAAGAAATAATCTTTGCAGTTCTCCCCCTGGGCTGTGGGCAGCACAAAGGAAGGCCTGTCCAGAGCTGCCTGCAGGTGTTTGGTCAGTTCAGAACTGCTGTGAGAGGCAGATCTGGCAGGCTGAAAACCCTTCTTTCCACACCTTTACTCCCAGAAATAACTTGTGAGGACATGTTAGAAATCTCCAGACTTGCAGACTGGATACATCTCCCTTTCTCCCAGTGCCAATGCAACGGGCACCTTGCTGTGCTGTCTCAGTGTTTTGTGTGTGTGGCCAGAGCAGTGAGCCAGTTTGGGGTGAGGGGGGAACTAGCTTTAGCACAGCATTTGGAAGAGTTGCAGGTCAATCCTCTCTGCCACAGGCTTTCCTGTGTGATTGCAGGCAACCTCCTCATCTTTGACTCTGCTGGGAATGCAGAGCTGCTGTACAGGGGGGAAGAGGGTTGTGAGAGAAGTGGTCCTGCTTTCTCCTTCTCTGGGGAGCTAGTGAATACTGGCTTTAGGAAGTGTACAGTCTGAGGTAAGGTGGGGGAAAGCATGGAGAGGGATATTCATGTAAGGCAAAGCACATGCATTGCCCTTTGCAGCGTGGTCTCCTTCCTTTCCTGAGGTTCATGTGCAGCTTTGGGTGAGCACTGGTGGAGGAGGGGTATTAGTGTCTTCTGAGGAGGGGGTAATTGGCCTGTCCCACAAAACATCAGCATAATAAAGAGGCAGATGGGGAAAGAGAGATTCAACTGTGAGACCAAGTGGAGAACAAACTGCAGAAATAAAAATTCTGGCTAGAGAAAGAATTCAGTTTGGAAGCTTACTAGTTTTGATAAATTATGTTGTGAAGGAGAAAGCAGCAATAGTGATGGCTTCTTGCACGAATTAAATTATCTGAACTAAGGAGATCACAGCCAGTGCTTGTCTCTGAACCTTCCAGTGGGGCACTACCACTGCACCATGTGGGGCTGCAAGGGCTCCGGCCTTGCCTCCCCAAAGTGCTCTGCAGAGGTGGTGAGTGGTTGATCAGGTCCCTGGGTTGTAATCATTCTCCATTCCTTCTCTTTTCAAATTCCAGGTGCCTCAGAACAAAAAGCCCCTGTTGAAGAAAGGGTCAGTGCTAGGCAGTTACCTGCTGGACGACAAGCCGGTCAAACGGTTAGATGGGTGTCTGTGTTGTGTTCATGGTGTCAGTCTGTGCCCGCTGGAGTAGCTTGTCAAGCTGTGTCTTGTGTCTGGTTCTCCCACCTTGGTGCTGGCTGGTTTTGGGAGCACAGAGGGGTGCAGCTTTTCTGTGGCTTGAGCTGCCTCTTGGCATCAGGTAGTGTTGGCTCAGCATGAAGCTGAGATACCATTAGCTAATTTCCACAGGGAGGTAGCCCACCTGCTGCTTTTAACTGCAGCAATGGGGGAGCAAACCCAAATGCCATCAGGTTTGGAACTGTTCATGGGAAGGGAGTCATAAAGGCTGCCTCTCACCGAGTCAGGCAGCTCTGTTGAAATGAGTGGATCAACTCCCAAGTGTGCCAGTTCCTCCTCTGGCAGAAGTCCTGTCCACTGGTACCTCATGCTAGAGCCCGTATCCCTGGGGCATGGGAGAGGGCAGGAGTTGCACTAGGCTTGGATTCTTTCTGGCAGGTGAGGGCCCTGCTCCAGGTGTGTTCATCTTGCCCATCTCCCTCTACACCTCTGCAGAAGCTCACCTGGTGCACCAGTCCTCCCTTTAGGCAGGGCAGTAAACGTGTCTGTGTGGCCAAGGCCTTTTCTTCCCCCCACCCCGTACAGGCAGACTGTACAGTTCCTTCAGTACCCACATATGCCTGCCTGATCCATGCTGGCATTTAGCATCAGCCCTTGTGAACTAGTTGTGTGACCAGCAGCTGATATTGGCCAAGCCCTGACCTGGGTTGGAGCTGCATCTCACCTGCAACTGCTGGCCCAAACAAGTTTTAAAGGCAGCACGCTTCCCTATCTCTTACCAGGTCTCTGCAGAAGGTTCCATTGCTCCCTGGTTCCTCCTAGTGCCAACCAGAGACATGGGTTTAGGCTCAGAGTTTCTTCCAGCTTCAACCCATCCTTAATGCCTGCAATTCTGGTAGTGGCATTTAAGAATTGAGCTCCAGGCTCCTTGGCTTATGGACTGGTGGAAAACCAGGTGGACTGTGGAGCGGGGCTGATTCTTGAGCCCAAGCAGGGAGATTGCTTGGATAAGTCTGAGACAGAGCTCTTTTGTGGCTGTGTGACTTGGCACACATTGCTATCCATCAGATCAGACTACCATCTTTTCCCGTCTTCCTCCCCAAGTATTTCTTGCAGAGATCCTTCTAGCTGCTGCTGGCGTAAACCCACTGAAAAGGTTTAACAGGTGGAAAAGTCTGGCAGTAAGGGTGATGTGAGAAGGGGAGAAGTGGTTGCTGGCCCTGTCTCTGTCCCAGTGTTGTGTCACACCACATTTCTTGAGAAACAGGAATGAAAACAATGAGATCTGGAGTCACTTCAGAAAGTTTTGTGTCTGTCTGTCCTTTACGCCCTCTCCCCCCCCCCACCCCTCAAAGAGGCTCTTGAATCTCAGCCCCTCATTGAGTGACTTGTGCCAGCCCTGGGAGTCTGGGAGTATGTGTTGATTTTCAGGGGGAGGGGTTCCAGCTGGCCTGGCTCTAGACTGGCATTGAGGGCAGATGCAGGGAGGACAGCCAGGAATGTGAACTCCCTTTCATGGAAGTGTAGGCATGGCAGCAGGGGAATTTTTCAACCTGGATGAGGTGTACTTGTAGGAGTGAGAAAGGAGAGTTGTCTTGATTCCTGCACTAGTAACAAGAGAAGAATGTTGCAAAGAGAGGTGGAATGTACTGCCTCTGAAGAGACTGACTGTGGTAAGCTCTAATTTGCTTCCAAATGCAATCTGCTGGCCAGTGAAGGCAGTGGACGTGTCTGTGGTGGATAAAGCCCTTCGGGTGAGTTCTAAGTGTTCTCACTCCCTTTGGCAAGTTCCTTTTGTTCCTCCACTTACCATGTCAGTTCTACCTCCTGCAGAGCAAAGTGCATCACCCTGCTCTTGTGTGGGCACAGTCTGTGCGACACCTATTCCCAGCTGCCACAGATAGGGTTCCTGGGCATTTGTTGTCATTCAGAGCCAGTATGGCTTGTTGGAGCTTTAAAAAGGAACATCTTTCAGGTCCTGGCTCTCTTACCTTAGCAAGGTGTAGATACAGGCCAGAGCAGAGCCAACACCAGGCAAAGTGACTCTCACCTGTGTGAGAATGTTCACTGGAATTTGCACACCTGTGCAGGTTTCTGCTGCCTGAACTCAGTAAGACTCTGGTACAGCAGTGTTTGGGAGTGCTGGGCAGTTTCCCTGGAGCAGGACTGAGTGCCGGCAGCAGAGGGCACACTGCATGCAGCCTGCCTGGGATATCAGACAGCCCTCGCCCTGCTCCCTGCAGGGAAACCCCTCTTCACTAACCTCAGAACCTTTGTTACTTCTTTGTATTGTATTTTGTAACAAAAAGAGAGGTATTTTTTTGCTGCCTTTTTTTTTTTTTTTTTTTTTTTTTTTTTTTTTTTTTTTTTTTTTTTTTTTTTTTTTTTTTTTTTTTTTTTTTTTTTTTTTTTTTTTTTTTTTTTTTTTTTTTTTTTTTTTTTTTTTTTTTTTTGGTTCTTTTTTTGCCACCTTTGTATGTTTTGCCTCATTTTTCGGTACTGAGGGAAATGGGAGGCAAAGAATTCTTGAAAAATCCAGAAGCCAGCAATTTTTATTAAAACCAATGAAATATTTGTTGGCATATATGAGTACAGCATAGCTCAGGTGAGCTGCCTCTTTTTCCTTAGTGCTGCCACTGATGACTTAGTCACGGGGAGTATGGGGAGTGTATGTATGAAGCAGAGTTCCTGCAAGCACTACATGTGCACTAATTAGATTGTATTGGTTGTTTCGGGAATTTGCAACCTCTTCCCTATCTCCTCACTCCCTACTCTCCCACCCTACCTGTGATGCTCATGAGCTTTAATACAGACAGCTGGCCTCTGCGGACCTTCCCTTCACCTTCCCAGCGGATGTGGCACTGGAAGAACCCAACAGAAAGAACTGTAAATACTTCCCAGGCAACGGGACGTGGATGAAGACAGGAGAAGGAGAAAGTACAAACTTTGGAGACAACCCCAGAGACAAGGAGAGATGGCCCTTGGCAGCAGATACTGAGTGGTTTAAGATGACTTTGAAGGGTGACACTGACTGCAGAAAAAAAGCAGATGGCTTAGATGCTGTTCCACTGCCTCCTAGAGCACAGCCTGTTGGCACTGAAACCAGGGTGAGTGCAGTTACTTGGGGTTCTTCCTCAAACACCTGCTACCAGGGACTTGAGGGTTTCTGACTCTTTCCCATCTAACTCCGGCTCCCTAGGTTTATAGTGCAGGGGTCCAATGCCTGCACAGATCAAAGCACAGCCTGAAGCTGGGCTTTTCAAAACTGAGTCCCTTTCTTCCATTGTAGCTCCAGGCACTGGAACCGGCCAGCTGTTCCCCAGATCGCATCTTTAAAGTGGTGTTTGTAGGGAACTCTGGTGTCGGGAAGAGTTCCTTCATCCACCGCTTCTGCTATGACAGGTTCTTGGCTGAGCTCAATGCAACCATTGGTAAGTAGTAGGGTCCCTGACTCATCTGGATAAGAAGGGTGGGAAAATCAGCCTGGATGAATGTTTTTTTGCCTGTATTATAGCCAAACTAAAGGTCAAGATGGTCCCTCTCCCAGTATTGAATCAATCTTGCAATTTCCCTGAACTAAACAGAGTTGATCCCTGGCCATTGTAACGATAAGCTGCTTTCTCCCTCTCCTACCTTGTGACCATTGTTACCTTCCTGACAGGTATTGATTACCAGGTGAAGAGTCTAATGGTGGATAACACCCAGGTTGCCTTGCAGCTGTGGGATACAGCTGGACAAGAAAGGTAAGTAATTTCTCTGAGGGCGCCCTACTGCCAGACTCACTGTAGGATAGGGAAAGTGCATGCAGCTCATTTCTACCCCAGGGAAAACTGCTAGCTTCAGAAAGACCAGAGAGGTCACAGCAGCTATTCCAGTGCACAACCTGCAGCAAAGGCCTGTTTCAAGAGATTTCTAGAAGTTTTCACTGTGAAGCAGGGCCTGGGGAGATCTCTCACAGGAGTGGCAGAAAAATAGTTTTCCATATGTGTGACCTGCATGCTTGTGGCTCCAGGTAGTCTGTCCATAGATCACTGTATGGTGTGAAGTTCAAAGCTCCTCCAACCCTCAAAGCTCTCTGGCATCAGCCTGCTTCTGGGAAAAGCTGCAGGACAGGGCTGCAGGTTAGGATAGAAACTAAGGCTCTGGATAGACATTCTGTTCTCAGATTTGGTTGTGCTACTCCTGTCCCCAGCTGCTCACCACCACCTGATACTCAGGGGGTGGAAAGGACTGTGTGAACCTTTCCAGGTCGGATTCAGTTGTCAAAGCTATCTGAATTAATCTGACCTGTGGGGAAGGTGATTTGAACTACCCTGCTTGACTCTGTCAGTGAGGTTATGGGTCCCTCCCACTGTCCCCTTTGCTGATAGACTTGTGAAAGTGATAATCCTTGGTAGAGGGACTGTGCAGCTTTTTGTGACAGTGAACATAGGTTCCCATTTGAAGGCCTCTAGTTTCAAAAGCATGAGTCACCTCTAGATGTTATCAGCATTGCTGGTGAGGACCAGAGCAGTAAAGGACACACTAGATCCTCATCCGCTATGAGAGATGAAAGCCCATCACTACCTTAATGTAAATCACATTTTACTTTGGATACACTTTGAAGCTTAAGATGAAAAGCTATTTCAAGAAGACCAGGAACCTCAAGGGCCAGACAAAAATAAGTACTGGGTATTTAGGACCAAGTATGTTATGTGGGCAGGCCTTCAGGAGGCAGCTGAGGTCATGGGAATATTATAATCTTAAACTATGCCGATGATGCTGTCTGCCTCAGTCAGCTGGACCATGCAGACCTGGTGGGAATGTACTAAGTAGGAGTATCTATCAAAAAGCAACTATCTCTTCCCAAATCAAGCTTCATGCTGAAGAAATAATGATTTCTGAAAGGACTCCTGTGGATACTTCAGTGCTGAAACTCAGCAGTGAGGGGAGTTATGACATAAAATGTGACATTTTACTGGGGTCAGGTTGCATCAGAGGCCAAATTCAAGATATTGTCTGCAGAAGGATCTTTAGCATTAGCAGGTCTTAGATGTGTGCTTGGAAGAGAGAACTTGGCTCCAATTAGGAGACATGGGAAGACGCAAAAGCTTTTACTGCTTCTGGAGAAAGGTGCATGCTACCTTTGATGTTTTTTCTGGACCATCTGGCCTGTCTGGCAGTTCCAGAGATGCACCTTGACTGCCAAAGACACAATCTGTTCTTTCTCAGTTGGGTAGTTGCCAGAATGTCATGCCCTTATTGCAGTGAGAAAGAACAGGCTCCAGGCAATCATCTGAAGAGTTCAGGAGGGTCACATCTTGCTGCAGGTTTTCTTGGCTCATAATAGAACAGTAGAGTGTGCTATCCTATGCAGGGCTGAAATACACAGCTTTCCAGTGAGATCTCAGTACTTAAGTTACATTTAATTCCATCAGTTTGCAATCTGTGTGGTTATATCACGGCTCTGTCACAAACTGCTTTTTTTTAAGGTTTGAGTTTGGTTTGTTTGTTTGTTTGGTTTGGGTTTTGTTGGGTTTTTTTCCTCGAAATTTATTCAAAAAATACAAGCCTGTGGTTTTAATTGGTACAGAGAGGACACAGTAGATGTCTGGTGGGAGTTTTTCCTGGAAATTATGTCTAACCCCTGATTTTTTATGTATGATGGCATTGATTTACAGATTCAAAACTGTAAACAGACTCTATTGATGCTGAGATCTTAATTGCTGTTTTGGCAGCACTGGAGGAGACATTATGCATGCCTAGTTTGTACTGTGGTACAGCTTAGTCTGCAGATTCTTCCAGATTCTAGGGAAAGATCATGTTTTTTCCCAGCAATTTCCCTTTTCATAGGCAATTTCCTTTTCCTATCCCACCTAAGCAGATTCTTCTGTTTCTTTCTTCCTGCCCTGCAAAGGTCTTCCTTCCTGCTTTCTCAGCACCATGCATTTGGAAAGGCTCCTGCTTACCCTTGGCTGCCTGGCCTGCCTCAGGGGTGCAAGGATTTGCCCTGTCACCAGGGTGTACACACCAGCCCCAGGGGACATGCACGGGGGCTGCCAGGCCTCGCAAAGGGCCTGCACTAAAAGACAGACAATCCCACTCTGTTTCTTGTCGTTACACGGCCGCGGTTCTGAGAGTGCCTTTGGTTTTCTTTGGGCTCAGGTTTCGGAGCATTACCAAGCAGTATTTCCGGAAGGCAGATGGGATTCTGGTGATGTACGACATCACGGCTGAGTGCTCCTTCGTGGCGGTGCGGAACTGGATGAGCAGCATCCAGGTGAGGGCGGACCACGGCTCTCCAGTGCTCCTGGTGCTGCCACTGCCTTGCTCCAGACCAGTTCCAGCAGTCTGTCTGGGAGCGACATTCCCCAGTGCCCCAGGAGGGCCTATTGACCTTGTGGAGTTGAATTACCGAAGCAGATGCTGTGGGTGCTGCCTGTGGGAGTCAGTCTGGGACCGGGGGCTTTGTGTTGAACATACCAAAGCCAGTGCAGGCCACTGAGTGAAGGAGGGCTGCTTCTGTGGCAGAATGTGGTGGGACCTGCCGAAACAGTAGTCTGTGTTTGTAAGCAGCCCATGTGCATTGGCATCATCTAAACATGGTCACATCACACCTGTGCTCAGGTAAGGAGATCCCCTGATGTCCAGCCTACACACAGGAAAGGAAGACAGCCCTGGTGCATTTAGGCTCAGACCTGCGGCACAACACTTTGTATGGTCACATCCTGACTCTGCCTGGAGATTGGGACTAGATGGGACTGCATTATCATCAATAGTGTTTTTTTGTTGTTTCCCTCCTTTGCTCCAACTTTAAGAATTGATAATTTTTCTCTCTCTTTTTTTTTTCTTTATTTGGTAACTGTATATTAATATTATAGCTTGCCCCCCTGCCTTTTATTTCCAAACTCTCAATAAAAGCGTTCATCTGTGGCTTTTATCTGCTTGGGGAGACAAAAATACCCGTCTATATAATTTAAATAAGCTGTGTGTAGATGATCAAGATGTTGAATGGAAATTGTGAAGGGTGGCTTTGTTTTGATTGTGCTGAGTCTCAAAAAAACCAAGATCCCTGGGAAATGAATAAGCGTAGGATGGAGGTTTCTAATATTGTTAACTTCCACAAGCCTGTTGGAACAAACAAACAAACAAACACTCAGCTATTTCTTTGGACTCTCAAAGATCAAAGGTTAAGATTTTCAAAAACTAACCAGCCTCTGAAAATCAGGCTTCTTTCAGGAAGGTTAAAGTGAGCACACAGAAAATCAAAGCAGGCAAAATATGTAACTTTTAATATCTCTCTTGTTTTCCTCTGCCCATCTGTGTATTTATCTTGTTTTGAAGCTGTTCAGGTACTGTATTATGTCATCCAGGCCACTCAAGTCTGGAAATAACTTTGAGCCCCATTCTTACTCTGACGATGTTCTAGTGAGCCAGTGGAACTGAGGGAGTTTTAGCAGAGGTAAGGGGCACCAAGAATCACCTGTGACTAAACAGTCCCTGCAGAGACAGTGTACAAGAGCTGAAAGTTGCTTATCTTGCTGGGCCAATGGATTTTTAGCAAGAGATCATTGAGTTTAGGACAGCACATCAGAGGAATAGTACATCACATACACACAAAAATTATTGAACTTTAGTAAGAAGCTCTGCCTGATCTCAAATTCCCAACAGCCTTTGGGGCAAGCTGCTTTTCCTTAGGCATGTTATTTCCCTGAGATGAGTTTATGTCCTGTCTCCCCTCTCTCAGCATCCCAGCTGAACATGCCAGAGATTTGGAATACATTCCAGTAGCTTAAACTTCTTTCCACAAATCCCTGGGGCTATTGAAGGAATGGCCCTTTAATGAGCTAAAGGGCCCAATCCTGCTGCTGTTTGCATGAGCTGGAAGGATCTGCTCTGCGTTACTTCCCTCTTTCATCTGAGTTTCCAGGGTGCTTTACTCTTGTTTCCTTTGCAGGAAGGTATCGAGGATGGAGCCGTGGTCTTTCTGCTTGGAAATAAAATGGATGCTGTGCAGAGAGAGACCCGGAATGTGCCCAAGGTGGAAGGGGAAAGGCTGGCGAAGGTGTGACTCTGTGTTCTGCTGCTTGACCTGCTCTGCAGCCTCCCTCCAGCTGTCAGCAGGGCAGCCTGGCTGGGAGAAAGCCCTTCTTGGAGCCATTTTCCAGTATGGTACCTTGCCTCTCTCCCCCACTCCCTGTTTCTCCAATGTAAACATGTTCCGAGGTCCCTCTGGTACCAGGCAGGATGAGATGGTGGCCTTTATGTGGCAGGCAATGGCCCTTGAGGCAGGCTCATTTATTTCTCTTGAGCCTTCATGCCTCCTTACAGTCTTTCTGAGGGGAAGTTGCATGGCTCTTTTCCCATTTGAGGACTCCTTAATGTAACATCATCCTGCCTTTTCCCTTACTCCCTTGTCTGAATGCTTGCTGGGACCTTGGCCCCTGGGTGAGGGGAGGCTCAAAGTAGTTCCCCATCTTCTGAACTCTGCAACACAAAGGTAAAGGAATTAAAGTACCCTGGGAAGATACTTTCTCTTCCCAAACAACTTCCCCAGTGCTCCCTTTTGGATGCTCTGTCTGGGCCCCCCAGTGCTGGAAAAGCATCTCCTTTTTCTGAGCTGGTGAAGGGGTGATAACAGCCACTCTCCTGGCCCCCAACTGCTCTTGGAAGAGTTCCTGGTGGTGGGGGTGGACTGGGTCCCAAGGATGTGAATGAATGGTGGTGGAAAGGCGGCAGCCAACATGTGTGCTTGCTGTGCTCTCTGGCAGGAATACAAGGCTGTGTTCTATGAGTGCAGTGCGATGACTGGCTACAACATCATGGAGCCCATGCTGCACATGGCCAGGTCAGTGAACAGGAACACTCACCCTGGGATATTTCTCTCACTATACATGACTGGTGTGGGCTCTCCTGGGGAATGGGCAAGAAGAGGGATGGGGGGTGTCAGAGACTGACTTTCTGCCATGTCACAAAAAAAGACCTGACTCCCTGACTCCAGGTCATTGTCTTCTGCTCCTGGAGAGCATCAGTTGTAGATGTGACACTTTCACACACAAAATTTCATCTGGCAGAGCTAGTGTTGCAAGATTGGGAGTTTAATTTGAATATTTCCCCACATAAACCTTGTGTATTATCACAGTTTTTA